ATCTATCTCCAGCGATTACTCCTCATCCTCCTTCTGTAAACCCTATTCTTTCATCTCTTCTCTATCTTTTCTCCTTGGTTATTTTTTGTCCTAGGTGATCCAATTTTCCTTGCTGCTGACGTCAGTCTAAGGAACTGCATTGTTTTATATCAGTATGTGTCCCCTCCCCTTCTCCCCTCCCATCAACCTTTCCCTCTCTCTTTCTCTTTCCTCATTCCCTCTCCTCCCTTCCTCCTCCTCACCCTCTACCTACCTCTCTCTCTCTGTTTCCTTGGCAACGAGAAACCACTGATGATGTTAATAATATGAATATATATAAAGGGCGAACTGACAGAGCTTTAACTAATGTGAACATGAAAACGGCACATATTTATCTTTATTTATTGCAGTTCCAATGGATTAGACAGTTTCTTTCTAAAAGAAGAAAGAAGAAAAAAAAAAAAAACTTCATATCACTTGTTTCTAGGTTCACGCCCTCTCTCGTGTTCTTTTCTCCTTGCGAGCTGAAGCGAGAATTACAGCGGCGACAATGTTTACGTATAATGTGCGCAAATTGTCATGGGCAGTGAGACGGGGGTATATATATATATATATATATATATATATATATATATATATATATATATTATATATATATATATATATATATATATATATATATATATATATATATATATATATATATATATATATATATATATATATATATATATATATATATATATATATATATATATATATATATATATATATATGGAATTAAACGACCCGTAGTTTCGAGGAGTAGCCGTTCTCCTCCAGCCACTGGACTATGACGTCATACTTTGTGTCCATCCAGGCGACGTTGTTCTTGACCTTCTCTTCTGCCTGCTGGACGCTCCTCTGGTTCCCCTCCAAGTTCACCGTCCTCCTCCTCAAAAACGACTGGACCTGAAGAGATGTGATTTGATTCTTGGTTTAAAAAAAACATTAATGTGATTTAATTCCCACAGTTGAAGCTACGGGATTTTTGAAATGAAATTATGCATTTATTACTAGGTATAGGTGTCAGAAATGTTTATTCTACGTGATCTAGTTAATACTTGATTGCATTGCTCTATACACAGAATAACGACCTTACCCTTTTCAGTTCCTGTTTCGTATTGAATGCTTGTGTTAGCCTTTTCATGACGTCACCTCTCCGACTCTTCTTGCTGTGAAATGAAAGTGAAAAAATCTAGTATGCGAAGGAACCTACAGGTTGGCATTCCTTGTCATTGCCTTTGTCTATGTTTTTTTATTTATATTTGTTATATTTGCTTTGATAAAATATATACTTTGCTCACACTGTATTTTTGTGATAGAAAAAGACTTACTATGTATAAATATTGTTCCAGTTATGTGTGAGGTAGTCCCACACCATGGAGCGTCCCACGTCATTCTACTCAAACCTCTTAACACATAAATAACATCTTGCAGTCTTATGCCATTGCTCTGTTCGTAGCCATCTCGAGGTATCTGGAAAAGCATGTAGAAATTAACTATGGAAATATACATATCACATGCGCATCCTCTCCTCTCCTTTCTGTCTCCGTCTCTCTCTCTCTTGCCCCCCTCTCTTTCTTATTTTTTGAACATCCAAACAGTCCCTGACACACAAAACTGTACACCTGGGGTTCGATGCAATAGCCGACGACCACCTGTCCCATCGCTGCTTGGCTCTCGAAGCATTCTTTGCGTCTCGTTCTCGTGCGTCTCTTCGTTGTTTCGAGGAGCAACCGTTCTCGTGTAGAAAACTGCTGCTCCACGAGACCTTCCCATCCACTTGGCCAAGGACTATATCGCCAGAGATTCAAGGTGGTCCAAAGTGGTCTCCTTCCACGAGAAGAAAGCCAATATCGGTTTCAGTTCAGCAGTTCTGGATTTAGCCGTGGTCTTGGCGCCCCTTGGCCATTGTGCAATCCACAAGTGCAGCACCATACCCTTGTCTTCCCGACACTCGCCCTGCCTCTCCCACCCGCCACCCTCTCTCACACACAGGCAAGACGACGTACCTAGATAGGATCCAAGTCTGCTTCGAGCAGGACATAGATCTGAGAAGAAGCTTTTTCTCGGTAGCGACGCTGGAAGTAACGTACTGGTCCCACGCGAAGTCCCACTCGGCCTCCCGCCCTCGGCGATGGCGCGACAAACACCACAGGTTTAAGGTTTGGCGAAATGATGCTGAAATTTTTATACTGATAAATCTGGATATCATTATATTTCTTTGGATAGAGTATCTAGTCCATATTAATTTGGTATGACAGAAGGTTTGATAGTAGTAATTATAATGATAATTAAAAAGTAGAATAACTACTGTTACAACCACTAATGAAGGTAAAATTATCGATAATGATAATCCCGAGATCAATAATGACAACATCACAATCATACTGATCCAAAAAAGTGTATACACTGTCCCGATACGACATACACCGCGCTACACCTACCTCGAATTGTCCGGCTGTGACATCCAGTGCCTGTAGAGAGTGAGCGCTTTGTTGAGGCAGTCCTTGTGGCCCAGTCTGCAAGCCCATGTCACGGCTATTTTCCTCTTTTTTTGCTCCAAGAAAGAGTTCGATGTTGTTGTCGAACCCAACGGACTCGTAGAGCGGCAACACCAAATCCAGGAGGTAACGCTGGAAGAAAAGAATGTTCATATACGCGTATGTATGTGTATACATACATACATACATACATATACATACATATATATATATATATATTTATATAGATAGATATATAGATATAGATATTACATACATATATGTATATATACATTTATATTCTGGTAAATAAATGATCAAACAATTCGGCATATCGGTTGCGGTTTCATCGCAGGCAAGTAAAACTCCGTGTGAGCCTCCGAGCCTCACCTTGAGAGCGCCGAATCCACTTCTGCGTCTGAACATACTCTCTATGTAAACGAATTTCCTGGCGCCTGTAGCCCAAGGCAGATATTCTCCTTCATTTCGCAGATACAGTAAAACGTCCAGGGCGAGCTTGTAGCTGAGATGACCTGAATGGAAGGTATCCATTTTTGCTAATCAAAAATTACGAAATCATAAAATGATTTCATTACTAATTTTGGAACACGCAAATATTTTAACTCATCAAAAATACACGTTCACTCCCTGTACGTTAGTGTATGTAAATATGACGTTCTTGTGTAATACAGACAAGAAAATCATAGTAAATATCCATATATGCATAGAAAACAGCTATATAATTCCTTAGTAGAAGAAAGAAATACTATTAAAAGATAAAGATTACTGTACCAGCCCTAGCAAGGTTCATGGCATCATCGACAATCTGCCCTCTGTTGATGGGCAAATAACCTGGTGGTCCTTCTTCAGCTGCTGGATAATAAGATTCCAGTTGTGGTCGTCGTAGTTGACTCGGTAGTAGGCCGCCTGCTGCAGGTTGAAGATGACCCACTGGTCCTTCGGGGGAAGAGAAGAGACGGTGACGTGATCCTCAGAGTCCTTCATCCATAAACTGGCTTGAGTCTGGCTGAAGTTGGCCTCGCTCTGGGTCGTGAAGGTCAGAGGCACCCACCACTTGTAATCCGTGGTGCTGGAAGAGTTTGCGCTCCCTTCTAAGAGGAACCGCTCCTGGAAATTAAGGCGGGGTATATATAGGGCCAAATGATATGTTTACTGAATATGTTTCCTCCCTTCCATCAAGTCATTAAGTACAAACTCACCTGTGTCAAAGTAGCAGAGGTTCCGTCGGGGCTCCTTGTCACCTTCACGACGGGGTATCCCATCTGCAGCGTCCACGTGTCCATGATCATCTTCACAGTCACGTCCTGGGGTAGAATGCCGTCCTCGTGAGCCGCCAGAGTCAGATGCTTCCACAGGTCGTCTTGCACAGAACTATTGTATGTGCTACATGAAAATGGACATATATTCAGGATGATAATATATAGAGCGAGACTTGAGAATTGCAAAGTAGCACAATATAAATTTCAAACCTTTAAGCTGAGTCATTATTACACCCAATTAGTATTACATGTCATAAGGTACACTTATATTAGCATATTTACAATGCTTTTAGATAGTTGTTCAATCCCTTCCTAAAGGTCGGCTCTGTGAGGTAGTGGGTCATCATCCGGATGATAGACGCTCCTAGATCATTGTAGAAAGAAAATATAAAGATAAGAAATGAGATGGACAAAGAAATACCATAAAAACCAAAACAATGAAGAAAAAAATGACCTTTATTGTATGATATGTCATCAAAGACTTCGAATATTTCGTCCGGGTTTGAGACGGGAATGTTGATCCTGTGGGAGGACTCCAGGCTGTCTAGATTGAACACACGATGGACTATTTCAACGACGATTTCTTCCATTGCCTTCCACGTTGGTTCCACCTTTTGAACATAAGCAAAATAAGTTTATATGTTTTGCATTTGTTTTATTTACTTTTATATATTATTGCATTTATTATGAATATCATGACTCAAGTAACTTACATGATCTACTCCAAGGTAACTTATATAAGTAGCGAATCCCTCGTTGAGCCACAAGTCGTCCCACCACTTAGGCGTCACCAGATTGCCAAACCACTGGTGAGCCAACTCATGAGATACAATTTTTGCAATAACTGCCTTATCGGCAGGGGTTGAAACTTGTGGGTCGTACAACAAGAGCTTTCTCTGTTAAATGTGAGAGTTGAATTAATAGTAAAGAACTCTGTCATAGCTAGAAATAGGGTTGTGCATGCTGTGAGCAATAAGGTTACATGAGATTTATTTAATAGAGCGATATACAGCCTTCAGACGTCAGCCAATTCTACAACTATGGCTTCTTTTTGTCTTAAACTTCACACACAACCCTTATATCCTTATTCTCGACCCTTTCTCTGTATACAAATATATCACTGATCCCGGCTCCTGAGTAAAATGGGTTATAATATTTAAAACAATACATGATGGTGCTGTAATACCAGACCTCTGTGCTAATGTCACTGCCTTACCTGAAAGTTATTAGACCCCAGTTCTCCATACCTCCAAAAGAGAGGTCGGTTAATGCAATCATGTCCATCTTCGGGAGGGGATAAGATAGGTTGAAATAATCTTCAAAGAAACACAAGATCTTGGGACCTATCTCATTTGCATATTCTGCTTGATCTATGGTCTCTTGTCGTGCCCACACTGCCAGAGAATTTTTCTGGTTAGAATATTAAGCACAGTCACCCCTGATCATGCCTTTTTGCACATGCTCACGGTCATGCCTAATGAAAACTAATTATAATTCTTTATAATATATCAGTAGAGTGATAAATCTGACAACAATTATGTTTTTTCACAAGAACATATGCATGAAAGGTATTCGCTTTCTATCTGTCTTGCTCACTCACTCAGAAACACAAATTAACACTGATGAACCTAGCTTCGATAAAATGTCATTACCTCGAAAATCTACACGGTCATTCTCGGTCGAGTTGATATGAACGTAGTCGGACACGACGAAGGCAACCAGGTAAGTGGACATAGGGACACTCTTCTCGTAACGATCCCACATCCATCCCTCCTGTCCTTCACTGTTGGATTACAAATTCAGTTTAATCAAAAGATGCATTGGAAGGTATTAAGACATATATCTAAAGTATAGAATAACATTTGTATTATCATGAAGTGCTACTCACACAGGCACCGTTTCGGCAATGGGCATGTTGGAGAGGGTCGTCATCCAAGATTCCCTTGCGAGGTGAATTTCAAAGGTTGCCTTCAGTGCGGGCTCGTCGAAGCAAGGGAAGGCTTTGCGGGCGTCGGTGGGCTGGAACTGGGTCGCAGCCGCATTTCTGGGACAGAGATTATAGCGATAATATGCAAATAGCCTTTAGTATACTATGAAATGGGTACAGTTACAGACAACAAAGGGATATTCACCTGATGTTACCATCAACATCCTTGTAGGTCGCTCTGTAGAAGCCACGCAGCATATCATTAAGATAACCAAGGAACTCCATGGACAGGATGTACCTTTTTCCCTTCTGGAGCTCTTTCCTCAAATGGGCAATGTAAAAGTGACGACTATGGTCATACTCGTGTTTCTTGATCCTCAAGCCTCGGGATGTTGCTTGATCTGAAACCTGAAACAAAAAAAATTTTGAAACTCCTGTGTACTATCCCAAAGCTTGTGGAACGAAGAAACCTGCTTCAGTTGTTAAACATTGTCTTGTTCAAATGAGCTACATCTACGTTATGTATCAATATTACCCAATACTATATTGAAGCTTATCCCTACCTTTACGGTGTCGTTTTTAGTGATGATATCCGATATGTGGAGAGTGATGTTGAAGTGGGTTCCAGAACCTCCATCTCCACCTCCATGTAGCCGACGATGCTGAAGTTGCCATTGATGAAGGGTTGAAGTTTGACCACATAATGGAGCGGCTTAATGGATCGAGGTAGTTGTACGTCCAAGTCTACAGGTCCAATGATCTAGATGCCTCAGTCTGTCAAAAATAGACATAAGCAGATATGGTTTCATTTGCTAAGTGAAAAACGCCAGTGTTCTTAAGAAATAAACATCATTTAAGGAAATATTCCATAATACATGCCCCACGTAGACATACAAAGTTCTTGTCTTTATGTTAGCGCCGTCAGACATTCCATCAGTCGAGGTAAAATATAAAACCCAATAATACTCTCTGTGTGAAAAAGGGCAGATTTCCTGAATGTCTAAATGAGACCTTTTATCTACCTTTCTTCCTAAGATTCAGCAATGAAAGCAATACTGCTATGCTGCCTTGCTTCCTCTACGTTCTCAAGGCGATTACATTCACGACCTAAATAAAGCTTTGAAGTAGGACTAGGCGATATTTTCATTAACTACATGTGGTTGAGGTTTTGTAACCAAAGGGCTGAAATACCTTCCCCATAAAGTCATATAGAAAACTACTTAATGTCACTAGCATATATATATATATATATATATATATATATATATATATATATATATACATATGGATAGATAGATATATACTTTTTTTCAGTCATTCTCTCAAAACAAGAACGATAGTGTCGATGTTACCTATGGAAACAAAAAATTCGGAATAGCAGACACTATTTCCTAGACAGGTTCAGCTAGCTCTCAATTTATTTTTTATTTTCAGCTTGGATATCACTTTAAATACCAATGAATAATTTGAAAGCGTACTGCTATTATAAAAAGTCAGTTTTGTTGACCAACATCATTCACTCACAATTTGCTACTGTCACACTTCCACGTACTCTCTCTATCATACAGTCCTCATCAAATGTATGTGGATCTTGCTTTCCCACCCGGAATGTCTTGAGAATATATTGAGAATTTTATTTGTGAGAATGCGAGTAATTTACATTTTAATACTTGACAGTGTTGCCTTTCTTCATCTTTACACTCTGAAGACATCTAGAAAGTGACAGAGCAGGGTTCTTGGGTGTATAAAGTGTGTTATTGTACCAGGACTTAAAAATGGCTACCTTAACCTTGGCACTGAAATGGCATCGTTCCCCTGTATGAGGTTTTCAATAGGATTCAGGTCCAGGCAATTTTCCGACCAATCCTTTATAAAAAATATACCATGTAGTCTTCAAGTCACTAGGTCTCAGATTTTGCTGTGTGGGCTGGAGTATCATCTTGCTGAAAAATGCTGGCCTTGGTAGCTTCATCTAACCATATCACTGAGAGCATCACCCTCGCTTCAGATAGGATATTTTATGGAAAAGGCAATCCTGCGATCTTTCTGTGCCTTTGATAGAAGAGGTTTCATCCTTGATACAAGTCAGATGTAACTTAACTCTGGCGCATGACATGGTGTGCATGTCTGGGTTGCTCTCCCTCAGAGATCTTACTGTTGTTCGTGGATTTGACCCTAAGGTACACTTTCTGATGTTCAAAGCCCTCGAGAAGTCATCCTTGGGCACCTTGTCCTAGGTTTCAATGGTGGGGTCTCCAGCCCTCCTCCTTCCCAAAACCGAGCCATATATTTCTTGACTTTGGCCACGTACAATTCATTCATTTCTTTCGTTTACTTTCTTTAGTAATTTAGTAATTTTGTGCAAAAAGGTGGTTTCCAGTCTTTCATGCAGTGTCAGGTCGAGCCCATTGCGATCGCCACTTTCACCTTTTCCAGTTTGGAAAGTTGGGTCATTCTTTTCCAGTTTTTACACATTTGACGATAAAAGACTAAATCAGACATGTTTCAAACAAAGAGAATGGAAGAAGACAGCAACATCTCAGATCCTATACGCACTAAAGCAGGATGCGCGCGCCTCTGGTTGTGTGTGTGTATATGTGATTAATGTATATACAGTATACATGCTTACATACACAAATAAATATACCTTCATTTATATGTGTTCAAACAATGTAAATATATGGTTAATGCATGTCATATTAGGCTACAACCTTTTACCGGTGATGTCGGTTTCGGATTGACTGAAGTTAAATGACAAAATGGGAGCATTATACTTACTGTAGTGGTCACCCAAGGTGGAATGGTGACGTCATCAACATTATGTAAACCGTGGTTGGTGTGACCGAGGGCGAGCAGAACAAACAGCAGCATCCTTACAGCCTGAGACAGAAGACACTTCTCCGGGCACAGTGCGGTGCGATCCGTTGTCGGGACCTAACTGTGCGCAGGGCTGCAGTCGCGATGGAAGAAAGGTAATTGGGCGAGGGAGAGAGGGGGGGGAGTGAGAGGGAGAGGGGGAGGGAGAGGGAGAGTGGGAGGGAGGGGGGGAGGGAGCACCAAGATTTTTGACGTTTTTCGGTAATACCCCTCTAATATCATGCAAATCGACCTATAGGTTTGGCGCTGATAGATTACTCATCTAACTCCACATTAGCGGTTTCAGATATCACTTCATTACCTCTGGGCAGTGACAGTGAGCAGAATTGCTACGTGATTTTTTCGTAAATAGCCTAGCAATTTGCCTGAGTTCTGTTGCTGTTTTTGGCCAGTGTGTTGTGATGGGTGGAGGTAAACATCTGAAGAGTGATCAAATTGCTGCTATTACAACACTATAAGGCAAATATACAACCAAAAAACAAATGTCCAAGCAACACTGTGACACTGACTCGCCACACTGCCGAAAAGCAGCCCAGGGAGGCCACGGAAAACATCTAAACGCACATTAAATGTGTTCAGGAGGCAGGTGGATAGTCAGCCACGAATAACAGCACCAGAATTAAAAGAAAGGAACCCTGTGTTACCGGTAGATGTGCCTGTGAAAACCATATAGCGACGGCTCCACAATGACTTAAAATTTTCCCACCGCATCGCTCACAAGAAACCGATTGTCACCCTTAAGCAGAGGCAAAGTAGTGTTGTTTTTTGCTAGAAATATTTTCAATGGGACGAGGACAAGTGAAAACGAGTATCATGGAACAATGATGAGTTTAACTGGAAACAGAGACGGCAAAATTTATCGCCGCCCTGAAAGTGATCCGTGTGACCCGAGATTCATCCAAGAGACTGAAATATCCAGATAAATTGATGGTGTGGGTGCCTTTGGTTACCACGGTGTGGGGACATTGGTAATACTACCAAGGAATGTTTTGTTATACCAAACCTAATAATTTTGAATCATGACAATTGGAAGATTGCTTTGCGGTGCCAAACAGACGTGTTTATGCAGGATAGTGCACTTTGCCATAATGCAAAGCTTTAAATCCTATTGAAAACTTGTGGGCACTAATGAAAAGCAGATTACATGAGCATGATACCTCATCAATCCTCAAGCTTGAGTCAGCCATCACAGCACACTGGCCAAAAACAGCAACAGTATGCATGCAAAATGCTTGGCTATTCACGAAAAAAGGACGTGGCAATTCTGCTCACTGTCACCAATGTGGAGTCAGATGAGTAATCTATCAGCTGACGGGGCGCCAAGAGTTTAGGTCGATTTGCATGATATTAGAGGAGTATTATCGAAAAACGTCAAAAATCTAGGCGCTGTCCCTCTTGCGCCAAGATTTGCA